GACGTCATCCTCGCTTCGCGACGGACTTCCATTTATTAATTATCTTCATCTGATGGAGTTGCAGCTTTTCGATACCAATATCCTTTCTGGACGACTGACGGACAGCAACATCGACATTCTAATTGGAGCAGATTATTATTTCAATATCATGACAGGCGACATTATAAGGAGTGAACGTGGTCCTGTTGCGATTAATAGTAAATTTGGCTGGATTATCACTGAACAGACGAAATATGGTGAAATTAATTCGAAATTGTCAAACGTTAATTTAATCATCGAAGATTACTATTTTTCAAAAGAAGTTCCGTTTGACAAGAGAGAACCCAAATTACATGAGTGCTTGAAACGGTTTTGGGCGATCGAATCATTGGGAATCAAAGAATTCAGCGAATAACATCATCAAGAGTTTCTGAAGAATGTACAATATCTGGAGGATGAAAGGAGATATGAAGTGAATTTACTTTGGAAGGGGGAATATATTCCAAAATCAGGATGATTAGATTATAATCAGATTATTCGGTGTGAAGGTCGAATTGACCACTCTACGTTACTTGATAGTGCAAAACAGCCGATTTTTTTTCGCCCCTTTAGCATGCCTTTTCGAAATTAATTATACGCGACTGTCACAATATAGTACATCACGAAGGAATTAGAGAAACTCTGAATTGCGTTCGAGAAAATACTGGATCTTGCGTGGTCGAGAGTGCATCAAGGGCGTTGCGCGTAGTGGTATCAAATGCAAGAAATTCAAAGGAAGCGTGTTTGCCATCAAGTCGAGTAAGGAAAGTGCCTCCCTTTTCAAACACCGGTATTGACTTTGCAGGCCAATTATACGCTACTAACAATCAAGAAATGGATAAGGTATTTATCTATTTGTTCACTTGTGCCGTAACTCGAGTGGTTCATCTTGAACTTGTTTGTTATTTGTCTGTGCTATCGTTTCTGCAAGCTTTCCGAAGGTTTGTCTCACGAAGAGGTTTGCCATTTAGACTAATATCAGACAATGCCAAGACCTTCAAAAGTGCCTCAAGGGAAGCTAACATACTGAGATCAACTGACATACAACGCGAACTGGCTTCCAAGGGTGTCAATTGGGAATTTATCATTGAAAAGGCACCTTGGCAAGGAGGATTCTACGAACGAATGATACAAAGTACAAAGAGATGTTTGAAAAAAACTCTCGGTCGTTCTTCAATAGATTTTGAAGCGCTTAGAACCATTTTGGTAGAAATTGAGGCTACCATTAACAATCGTCCACTTACATATATCTATGATGACCAAGAAGGACTTTCCTACCCTCTGACTCCATCTCAATTAATTTACGGACGGCAACTTACTCTTACGGCTAGTGATCAACAATTTGAAATCATCAGTACGAATCGAACTCTAACCAGAAAGGCGAAACATCAGAAACGTTTGTTAGATCAATTTATTAATCGTTGGAGAACGGAATATCTTTTAAGTGTCAGAGAGACTTCACGCTTACTTCATGGAGCACAAAAGGAGAAGATAGCTGTCAGTGATGCTGCTGTGTTAAAAGATGATCTTTACCCTTGAATTTTGTGGAAATTGGCAAGAGTTACAGAGCTCATAGTTTGCAAGGATGGTGTTGTTCGAACAGCAATGGTCTGTGTTGCGAGTACTACAAAGGCTCGATCGTCAGAAATACGTCGTCCAATAGAACAACTGATACCACTTGAGTTGAATATGCCTCCAGCAAATACCGTGGTTCCCAAAACCACTAGTGGAATTGAGTCTAAAGACGACAACTCTTTGAAAACCCGACAACGAAGGACTGCAGCCGTGATTGGAGACCTAATGCGACAGTCAAATAGTAAACTCGTGGAAATAAATTGATCAATATGATCAATATCGGGAGTGTGATGAACATTTGTTTTTATTTTGTTTTTGTTGTTGCGGATCGCGTGCATTTCACGTGATTGACACTTTGGGATTATTACCGAAGGGGAGTTGCTGACATTATAGATTCGTGAAATGGGTGTTTTAAGAAAAGCAAACATACAACAAACATGTTAGCCGTTGTTGAAATAGTACAAAATAGTTCTTTGCATGCAAATACATCAATGATAAGCAAGAATTTGCCCTGAGCAGGAAATCAGTGGAACTATTTCGGCTTTGTCTAATCAAAAATTATAGCTTTAATTATCTTTAGCTACTTTTTTGCACATTACATTTTGTCTGCGGTATCTTTTGGTCTTACATGATCTTTGCTATGCTTGTAATCTTTTAACATGAATAATTGAAAATGATTGTATTTTACCTATTCTATGTTTATAATAACACGTGTATTATCTAAAAAATAAGGAACACGTTCACCAAGCGTTATTCTTTTCTTATTTTCTGCTAGAGACTCTAATGAATGATATCTTCTACCAAATATTGGCTTTTTTCTTTTCTTTGTAAAAAAAAGCATAAATGCTTCAATGGAGCATTCGTGACTCAAAGCCAAGAAAGGTCTCGAACATATAGTTAAGTTTGACAATTGTGGCCACATCGTTGTTCATGACCTTAATTTAAATATGATATTGGCTACTGAAAATTCCGACTACTGAATTTGCGAATGATTATAACGATAATCTAGCTATCTTTGATAAATTGGCTGTTAGAGACTTAAATAAAAACAAAATGTGATCAAAACGTTCAATATTGGGAGAAAACCAGAATAAGCTAGTTTTTACTTATATTGCGGCGGAAGTTAATGGTTTGATAATAGCTAAGTCATTTCAACTTAACTTAACCGGTTTGCAACAAACAAAAATTATTTTATGTATATCTTTAAAACAAGGAATGAGAAATCTTAGAAGGGAACGAGGAAGGAAACGGGGAATGCGAAAACAAGGGATGAGAAAAGCCGGAATCTTTGAAACAAGGAATGTGTAATTATGCAAAAACCGTGTATATTCAAAACAAATTCGTACGACATCGTACTAATTCCCAATTTTTCACAAATTTCATGCAAACGGCTAGTTAAGATGCGTTATTTTTAGACAGGCTTACAAAGAATGGTTTACAAGGCAATTACCAAGGAGTTTCATGAGTCTGGGCATGTTGCCAACTGATTTTGACTTCGATTGTGTCCTTGTATAAAGTTAACAAAGCGATCGGTACGTACACAGTAAACTCACGTTTCTTTCGATTTATGACTGCCAAATGTGCCTAAACAATTGAACTGATTTCGGTCGCTATTTGGTCATTTGTCAACACTGCGTCATCACTGCATTTTGAAAAGTTTCGAGGGGGAAAGCAACCTTTTAAATGGCAATTTTTTATTTTTTTTTCTCCTAAAAGTTGAGATTTGTGATGCTCTAATTTCAGTCAATTTCTGCTTGTTTTTTTGCATCATCTTAATTCAAATTCCACAGTGTGTCGTAACTGGTAAAGATTCTCACATTGTTAACTAAGTATAAATAACTAATGTAAATTTCAGCATATAATGCAATAGAGTTTTTAAAGTTTTGCATTTTTAAATTTCATAAATAAGATAAGTTTTAATATTTCAATAGTATCTTTGGGGAATAAAGAGCCTTGCATTTCTCTTTACTTTGACAGCATGCAACATTTGTTATTATTAAAAGACAGTGATGACGCAATGTTGACAAATGACAAAATAGCGACCGAATTCAGTTCAAATGTTTGGCAAACTGAACTGTCATAAATTAAAAGAAACGATAATTTACTGTGTACATATCGATCACTTTGATAACTTTATACGAGGACACAAGTGGTTCGAAGTTCCAAAATCAGTTGGCAACATGCCCAGACTCATATCTCGTTTTAATAAAAGCAATTTTCTCTCTCTATGGCAAGCCAAACCTGCCAAAAATGTATCGAGATTTATGTGTCGTATTAGAATTACAATAAGTGTATTCTATGGCAAGCTGTACATGTCAAATTCCATCGAGAAGAATATATTGTGTATCCAGTTGTATAAACGATTACTTTAAACGCGTATACATGCGGTCAAAAAAGTTATACTGGCAATCCAAACATACATACCAGTAATTAAGAAAAACAATACAACACACGAGACAAATATAACAACATGCAAGACGAATACGTTTATCATCAAATGGATACAAAAGACGAGACGAATATGAATCGGATGTTTGTCTGTATTTGTGGTCAGCGGTTTGCAATTCACGTGCTTGACTCATGGTTCATGCATGTGCGACAGTGCATGGGTTCATGACTCCATGCTAGAGATGCCATGGATAAAATAGAAAGCCGTGCCGATGACAATTAACAAGATGGCGGCATCCTTTGGCTATGAATCTCATGAAAAACTCACAGAATTTCTACATACGCTTCAAAATTTATTCAGGCAACACAACAATCGTTATTATGAAACGACCATCTTGGCTTAGAGCACTGTAAAAGTAAAATTGAGCGTTGTATACCAATTGCTTTTGCGAGTTTACTTTCACTAAATGATCCTCATCCTCAAAATGATGCCTGCCTTACAGCGACGCAAAACGCACAAATACAAACGCCAACGCTTCGATCGCTGGTGGAAAGATTAATTTGTGACATGGAAGTCGAATTTAAGAAGGTTATAGCTACTTTGAAACATTTTATGAAGAACACGTTAGAGATGTTATTTCATTTCTTTTGGAGAAAAATTGAGCAAACATGAAATAAGCAATAAATTATACAAGTCACATTTGGAATTATTATAAAAAGAGATGATTCCGTACAAATACATCAATGATAAGTGAGAGTTCGCCCTGACGAAATCAGTAGAAGCATTCAGGCTTAGTCTAATCGAATAAACTTCCTGTCACAATTTTAACCAAATTAGCTACCCTTGCTGGTTTTTTGTACACAACTTTTGTCTTTTTTATTTGGTGTTAGATGATCTTGAGTATAATAATATGGCAGTAAGCTTTGAACTTAAATAAATGAATGCCGATTCTATTTTCTCATGGCATGTTTATAATGACACGTGTATTATCGAGAGAATAAGGAACACTTTCACCAACCTTTGGGCCTTGGGGGTATATCTTTTCCTATTTTCAGTTAGAGATCTGTAATGTATGAAACTTTTACCAAAATTAGCTTCTTGTATTCTTTACTTTGTAACAGAAAGGATATATGTTTTGATGGAGAGCCCGCTAGTCCAAACCTAAAATGGTCTTGACTTTCTTTGTCTATACCAAACTTTAAGAGGGTGACCACCCATCGTTTGTGACGTTAATTAAAATGCGATATTGGCTTTGTTGTTGTGACCATCAAAGATGCTATAACCGAAAGGAACTCTGGTGAATTTGCATGAGCTATTATTTTCAGCTTATTTTCGTGCGGAAGTTTATGTTTTGATAAGGTCTTTTTCATTATGCAACTAATTTATATTACCATTAGGCAACACACAAGAATTATTTTTATTTGGGGCGCAAACTACCCAACACTTATAATAAAGGCTAATTATCCTTTCGAAGACATTTTTGCGTTATGTGAAAATAACAAAACATCTAAAATCTTTATATATGAGTGAATATCACAATTATTTAAACGTTGTACTGGAATAATTATGAAATTTATGCAGCTGTGTATAAATAAATATAACACGAAAAAATTACATTGAAAACGTCATGAAATGTACAGAAATGTTAAAACTATCAAAGATTCCATCAACATTATTTCAAAGTGCACAACTCCATACAGAAGTAATGTAAATGTATATTAATATAAAACTGGTCCTCGCATGCTCTTCAAAAATAGGCATCATAAAAAGGGTGTTTTTAAGAAAAAGCAAACATACAACAAACATGTTAGCCGTTGTTGAAATAGTACAAAAAAGTTCTTTGCATGCAAATACATCAATGATAAACAAGAATTTGCCCTGAGCAGGAAATCAGTGGAACTATTTCGGCTTTGTCTAATCAAAGGGCCTGTTCACACTGGTCGTTTAGATCGATCTGAGATCGATCTAATGTAAAGCGAGCTAAGTGTGAACCTTCGCTAAAATTTGAGATCGATCTCAGTCAGCTCGCTTCGAAAGGTGGTCTGAGATCGATCTGAGATCGATCCGGTTTATATGTGAACGTAAGTGAGCTTATTTCGATAGAACAGTTTCGCTCTCATGCCGTTTCCACCAAAACGCAGACATTTTTCCTCAAAATTTAAAATCAAAACAGAGAAAAAAGCTTGGAAAATGGCGCAAAACGAGAGGTTTGGTCAGAAAAGACTGTTTAGCCCTCTTCAGCGTACGGTACAGAAGAAGTTCAACAAAAGTTGAAAGGTACCCACAAAAACGCTGATATTTATAAAAAAATCAGCATTATAATGGAAAAAAATGGAATAGATCGTGATTGGACGCAATGTAGAACTAAATTTAAGCATATGAAATCTGAATACAAAAATTTCAAAGACACATTATCACGATCAGGAGCTGGGAGAGGCAAGAAACCTAAATTCTTTAACGCTATGGACAATTTCTTGGGTGATAGACCAGAAGCAAGGGGTCTAAAAACGTCATCGATACATCTGATGAATCAACGTGTTCATCAGCTGATGCTGAAATAAAAAGCATTAACGTGCATGATGATGATGGTAAGTTATCGTGAATGAGTTGATATCGAGTGGTTTTTTTGCAAAAGAAAATATTGGTTTGGCGTTTCATAGCAGACGAGCTTACAAGAAAATACGGACACGGGAGAATCATTGAAAAAAAATGTCCTCAGTGCGATGAGTTTGTGGAGCTTAGGACAGCAGGAGCCCATGTTGGAAACAGCACTGCAGTATACGCTTATGATGACAGACTTGTTTGCCCATATTGCTATTACATTGAAGCAGGTGAATAGTAGAGCATTGCATGTGTGTACTATATTTTGTTTTATTATGTCGTAACATTTATGAGATATGTTATGTAGATGTCAGTAACGCAGATGGAAAGTTACCTAGTGAAGCAAATGAGGAATCCCTACCATCTCAAGGTGAAAACAAATCAGTGCCAAGGAAAAGAATACCAAGGGGAAAGGCAAAGCCCTCTAGCATGCAAGTGGCATTCGAGAATGCAATGAAAGAGCATAACAAATATCTCAAGGAGTCCGATGAAATGTTTTTGTCTGAAATGAAAAAAGAAGCAGAAAAAGAGCGAGAGTTGCGAAAGGAAGAGCTTAATGTTTATAAGGAGTCAATTTCACTTCTTGCAAATGCTATAGCAATGAGGTCTCAGCCTGTGCAACAACCATTCTACAATGTTCACCATGATGCTGAAAGTCAACAAACATATTACAAACTTTGATTTAATTTAAGAACATGAGTAATTTAGCTATCATCAGCTTATTGTGTTATCAAAAACTCAGTTAAAGAATTTCTAATTTGCTGTGCACTTGCATCTGTATTCTGTAAAACAAATTCTGAAATTTTATCATCAGGAATAAGTTCAACATAATCTGCAAAAAGTTTGTCAGCTCTACTCTCACAAATATTGTGTACAACACAACATGCTGCAATTTTCATAGGCAAATGATCTAAATTTGTATAATTCTTGTTAAATTGGCATCTGAATCTGTTTTTTAAACGGCCAAATGCACACTCCATGACTTGCCTTGCTCAACTTATGTAGTAATTAAATTTCTTTTGAGCAGGACTGAGATTGCCATCGTTAGGATGCCTCTTCATCAACCATGGTACAGTGGATATGCTGGATCACCAATAAGCATGAATGGTACATTGCAACCACATATCTCTTTTCCTCCCTAGAGTATGTCAAGACCATGAATTTTCTAGTGGCTATTATCAAAAATGCAGTAAAATTTGCCTCTGACCTAAGATAAGCTTTTCATTATAAGAACAGAAAACTTACATCTGGAAAAAGTTTTCCTGCTTCAGCTTTTGCAAACACTCCTGAGTTTGACAAAACTCTTGCATCATGGACTCGACCTAGCCACTTTATGCAAATGTCAGTGAATCTTCAAAATTTTTTAATTATATATTTTTTTACTTTTTAAGTGTGTGTAATTTAATTCACTTTGTGTAACTTACTTACTCAACTGGTTGAAACACATTAATAAGAATTCTAAATTAATAAGAAACCTATTTTACATCAGTGACTGTTAAAATCCTCCATGGGATCTAAAAATCGTTAGAAGGTGAAAAATGTCAGTTGCATAACAGGGAGGCAAAAACTTATTAAGTCAACCTTGACAAAAGCAGTACGTTTTGGTACCTGTATTGATGATCAACAACAGCTTGGAGAACAATAGAGTAGAATCCTTTTCCATTGTAGTAATCTTGTGCAGAATTTGAAGGTGCTACAATTTGAATATGAGTGCCATCAATGGCCCAGCGCATTGAGGGAAGCCCCATGTCGTTAGAAAGGCATCAACGATACTCTGCAGTCTATCGCCCTTTGGCCATTTGATAACAAGACCCAGTAACACGTCAACAAGAGCTTGGCAAAGCTCGTTCACGATTTCACAGGCTGTACTTTTTCCTATACCAAAACGCCAAGCTAAAGAACGCAAATCTTCATTGGCCTGTTCCAAAACAAATTCCCACTCTTTTGGCACAGGATAGCCTTTCTGAAATTTGTATCTTCACGCAAAAGAGTGTCATTGATCTTGTTGCAAATGAAATCGAATGTTCCCTTTGACATACGAAAATTTTCTAGCCACAACCCATCATCTTTCCACATAACGATAGTTTTTCCCAGAACAAACTGGTGCCTTTGCTTGCATCCACCCAGAAACGTCTCTCACTCATTAATTTATTTCCTAGAGCGCCAAAAACCAAAATAAAACAGGCCGTCCCTTCTTTATTTCGCTGCTTTCTCTCTTTAAAATATTTCTTTCTTCTTACACGACGCATTCGCATCTTTTTGTGGTATTCAGATGTAATATTGAAAATGGTTGCGATCACTTCGTCCGCCCGCCATATTTGGATTGCAATAATATAAATATTACACTTTGTTGTCAAGGAAACTAGCTCGGTTCCGTGTAGCCGGTAAGTGTGAACCCTCACAAAATTGACTTTGGTCATTAACAAGATCGATCCAGATCGATCTTCCTCGGATCGATCTTCCCGGATCGATCTGTAAAGGAGCTTGCGGTGAACAGGCCCAAAAATTATGCTTTAATTATCTTGCTACTTTTGCACATTACATTTTGTCTGCGGTATCTTTTGGTCTTACATGATCTTTGCTATGCTTGTAATCTTTAACATGAATAATTGAAAATGATTGTATTTTTACTCTATTCTATGTTTATAATAACACGTGTATTATCTAGAATAAGGAACACTTTCACCAAGCGTTATTCTTTTCTTATTTTCTGTTAGAGACTTTAATGCGTGATATCTCTACAAATATTGGTTTTTCTTTCTTTGTAAAAAGCATAAATGCTTTAATGGAGCATTCTGTGACTCAAAGCCAAGAAAGGTCTCGAACCTATAGTTAAGTTTGACAATTGGGCTACATCGTTGTTCATGACCTTAATTTAAATATGATATTGGCTACTAAAAATTCCGACTACTGAATTTGCAGAATGATTATAATGATAATCTAGCTATCTTGATAAATTGGCTGTTAGAGACTTAAATAAAAACAAAATGTGATCAAACGTGCAACATTGGCAGAAAACCAGAATAAGCTAGTTTTACTTATATTGCGCGGAAGTTAATGGTTTGATAATAGCTAAGTCATTTCAACTTAACTTAACCGGTTTTGCAACAAACAAAAATTATTTTATGTATATCTTTAACACAAGGAATGAGAAATCTTAGAAGGGAACGAGGAAGGAACGGGGAATGCGAAAACAAGCGATGAGAAAAGCCGGAATCTTTAAAACAAGGAATGTAATTATGCAAAACCGTGTATATTCAAAACAAATTCGTACGACATCGTACTAATTTCCAATTTTTCACAAATTTCATGCAAACGGCTAGTTAAGATGCGTTATTTTTAGACAAGCTTACAAAGAATGGTTTACAAGGCAATTACCAAGGAGTTTCATGAGTCTGGGCATGTTGCCAACTGATTTTGGACTTCGATTGTGTCCTTGTATAAAGTTAACAAAGCGATTGGTATGTACACAGTAAACTCACGTTTCTTTCGATTTATGACTGCCAAATGTGCCTAAACAATTGAACTGATTTCGGTCGCTATTTGTTCATTTGTCAACACTGCGTCATCACTGCATTTTGAAAAGTTTCGAGGGGGAAAGCAACCGTTTAAATGGCAATTTTTTATTTTGTTTTCTCCTAAAAGTTGAGATTTGTGATGCTCTAATTTCAGTCAATTTCTATTTGCTTTTTTGCATCATCTTAATTCAAATTCCACAGTGTGTCGTAACTCGTAAACATTCTCACATTTTTAACTAAGTATAAATAACTATTGTAAATTTCAGCATATAGTGCAATCGAGTTTTTAAAGTTTTGCATTTTTAAATTTCATAAATAAGATAAGTTTTAATATTTCAATAGTATCTTTGGGGAATAAAGAGCCTTGCATTTCTCTTTACTTTGACACCATGCAACATTTGTTATTATTAAAAGACAGTGATGACGCAATGTTGACAAATGACAAAATAGCGACCGAAATCAGTTCAAATGTTTGGGCAAACTGGATAGTCATAAATTAAAAGAAACGATAATTTACTGTGTACATACCGATCACTTTGTTAACTTTATACGAGGACACAAGTGGTTCGAAGTTCCAAAATCAGTTGGCAACATGCCCAGACTCATATCTCGTTTTAATAAAAGCAATTTTCTCTCTATGGCAAGCCAAACCTGCCAAAAATGTATCGAGATTTATGTGTCGTATTAGAATTACAATACGTGTATTCTATGGCAAGCTGTACATGTCAAATTCCATCGAGAAGAATATATTGTGTATCCAGTTGTATAAACGATTACTTTAAACGCGTATACATGCGGTCAAAAAAGTTATACTGGCAATCCAAACATACATACCAGTGATTAAGAAAAACAATATAACACACGAGACAAATATAACAACATGCAAAACGAATACGTTTATCATCCAAATGGTACATAAGACGAGAGGAATATAAATCGAGATGTTAGTCTGTATTTGTGGTCAGCGGTTTGCAATTCACGTGCTTGATTCATGGTTCATGCATGTGCGACAGTGCATGGGTTCGTGACTCCATGCTAGAGATGCCATGGATAATCAAGAAAGCGGAGCTGACGGCGGCATCCTTTGGCTATGAATCTCATGAAAAACTCACAGAATTTCTACATACGCTTCAAAATCTATTCAGGCAACACAACAATCGTTATTATGAAACGACCATCTTGGCTTAGAGCACTGTAAAAGTAAAATTGAGCGTTGTATACCAATTGCTTTTGCGATTTTACTTTCACCAAATGATCCTCATCCTCAAAATGATGCCTGCCTTACAGCGACGCAAAATGCACAAATACAAACGCCAACGCTTCGATCGCTGGTGGAAAGATTAATTTGTGACATGGAAGTCAAATTTAAGAAGGTTATAGCTACTTTGGAAACATTTTATGAAGAACACGTTAGAGATGTTATTTCATTTCTTTTTGGAGAAAAATTGAGCAAACATGAAATAAGCAATAAATTATACAAGTCACATTTGGAATTATTATAAAAAGAGATGATTCCGTACAAATACATCAATGATAAGTGAGAGTTCGCCCTGACGAAATCAGTAGAAGCATTCAGGCTTAGTCTAATCGAATAAAACTTCCTGTCACAATTTTAACCAAATTAGCTACCCTTTGCTGGTTTTTTTTGTACACAACTTTTTGTCTTTTTTTTTATTTGGTGTTAGATGATCTTGAGTACAATAATATGGCAGTAAGCTTTGAACTTATATAAATGAATGCCGATTCTATTTTTTTATGGCATGTTTATAATGACACGTGTATTATCGAGAGAATAAGGAACACTTTCACCAACCTTTGGGCCTTGGGGGTATATCTTTTCCTATTTTCAGTTAGAGATCTGCAATGTATGAAATCTTTTACCAAAAATTAGCTTCTTGTATTCTTTACTTTGTAGCAGAAAGGATATATGTTTTGATGGAGAGCCCGCTAGTCCAAACCTAAAATGGTCTTGACTTTTCTTCGTCTATACCAAACTTTAAGAGGGTGACCACCCATCGTTTGTGACGTTAATTAAAATAGATATTGGCTTTGTTGTTGTGACCATCAAAGATGCTATAACCGAAAGGAACTCTGGTGAATTTGCATGAGCTATTATTTTGAGCTTATTTTCGTGCGGAAGTTTATGTTTTGATAAGGTCTTTTTCATTACGCAACTAATTTATATTACCATTAGGCAACACACAAGAATTATTTTTATTTGGGGCGAAAACTACCCAACACCTATAATGAAGGCTAATTATCCTTTCGAAGATTTTATTTGCGTTATGTGAAAATAACAAAACATCTAAAATCTTTATATATGGTGAATATCACAATTATTTAAACGTTGTACTGGAATAATTATGAAATTTATGCAGCTGTGTATAAATAAATATAACACGAAAAAATTACATTGAAAACGTCATGAAATGTACAGAAATGTTAAAACTATCAACGATTCCATCAACGTTATGTCAAAAAGCACAACTCCATACAGAAGTAATGTAAATGTATATTAATATAAAACTTGTCCTCGCACGCTTTTCAAAAATAGGCATCATAAAAATGGGTGTTTTTAAGAAAAAGCAAACATACAACAAACATGTTAGCCGTTGTTGAAATAGTACAAAAAAAGTTGTTTGCATGCAAATACATCAATGATAAACAAGAATTTGCCCTGAGCACGAAATCAATGGAACTATTTCGGCTTTGTCTATCAAAAATTATAGCTTTAATTATCTTTAGCTACTTTTTTGCGCATTACATTTTGTCTGCGGTATCTTTTGGTCTTACATGATCTTTGCTATGCTTGTAATCTTTTAACATGAATAATTGAAAATGATTGTATTTTACCTATTCTATGTTTATAATAACACGTGTATTATCTAGAGAATAAGGAACACTTTCACCAAGCGTTATTCTTTTCTTATTTTCTGTTAGAGACTCTAATGCATGATATCTTCTACCAAATATTGGCTTTTTTCTTTTCTTTATAAAAAAAGCATAAATTCTTTAATGGAGAATTCGTGAGTCAAAGCCAAGAAAGGTCTCGAACCTATAGTTAAGTTCGACAATTGTGGCCACCTCGTTGTTCATGACCTTAATTTAAATATTATATTAGCTAAGGAAAATTCCGACTGCTGAATTTGCGAATGATTATAACGATAATCTAGCTATCTTTGATAAATTGGCTGTATGAGACTGTTAAATAAAAACAAAATGTTATCAAAACGTTCAATATTGAGAAAAAACCAGCATAAGCTAGTTTTACTTATATTGCGGCGGAAGTTTATGGTTTGATAATAAATAAGTCATTTCAACTTAACGTGTTTGCAA